ACCAAATCCACATAAATCAAGTAGTTAACTCACATAAATTTCACAAAGAAGCACGTAAGGCCATACCCTAGGCCGCAAAAGTAACTCATGCTCTAATACCATATTATAAGAACCCAAATTTTCACCCAAGAAATTTTTGTTTATTTTAATTCATTTATACATAGTTCCACAATTATGTCATACATCAATTTACCCTGAACTTACATTTTCAGTTTCATACATTAACTACCTTCAATTGCAGAAAAACATAATACGCATTCATATCATAAATGAGTGTCATCATATGTCAAGTTATGGGATTACAACATTAATATACCCATAATTACAATTAATGTCAACAAATAGTCATTTAGTGCATGAATAGTTAAAGTCATGAAATCTTGATCAATAAAGTTCCTAAAGCTCCTAATCAATGCATCCATAAACCGTCTGTTTTCCTGCAATGAGATTATCATAGGCAAATACACATAAAACACAAAGGAGTAAGACATTAACTCAAGAAATATAAACAGACGATAATCCACATTTTAATATGGATAGATAAAAAATCATATCATCACACATAAAGTAAACAGATATAAGAGTCTTCATTATCATTTACACCACTATACCTTTTCGATAAATTACCATATCTGTACCTTACCACAATACATGTATTCATTGTTTCACCTTACCTGACATTTAACGTAATTCACATATATATAACCATGCTACATAACTTGAGCCAAAGTTTGCTACATAACTTGAGCCAAAGTATGCTACATAACTTGAGCCAAAGTTTGCTACATAACTTGAGCCAAAGTGTGCTACATAACTTGAGCCAAAGTTTGCTTCATAACTTTAGCCAAAGTGTGCTACATAACTTGAGTCAAAGTTTGCCACATAACTTGAGCCATAGTGTGCTAAATAACTTGAGCCAAATTTTGCTACACCACTGAGGGGAACTAAGAATAGGTTTTTCATTTCTTTCTTTAATAATTCTTAAATATCCAGAAAATTCAACACTATTCGTAACAAAATATTCAAGCATCATTTAGCTTTAAGCGGGTGGTTACACCCTTGCTTATATCACCAATGATGTTGTCAATAGGATGGTCTCTATGAGTTTTCCATTCTTGTGGTAAATCAGAATGAATATGCTCTTCTTTAGAGGATAAAGTATCATTTATTTTCAAGTTTTCAGTATTGGTTGTAATACTGGTAGAAGACTCTTTTATTGAGGGAGAACTAGGCAAGTCGTCTTCATCAAGAGTTAACCCATCCTTTGTAATAGGATTGGTTTCATCAAAAGATACATGAACATATTCTTCATGGCTAGAGTTCTTTTATTAAAGATTCTTTAAGCTTTACTCGTAAGAGAGTAGCCTAGGAAGAGTCCTTCATCAACTTTTGCGTCAAATGAGAAATATTTGGTTTTATACCTTTGAAGAGTTCATAGGGGGTTTTCTTGAGAATTGGTCTTATAAGAACTCTATTTGAAACATAACATGTTGTACTAACTGCATCAGCCCAAAAGTATTTTGGGAGATTAGTTTCATTCAACATAGTACGAGCAAGTTATTCTAATGACAAATTCTTTCTTTCTACAACACCATTTTGTTGTGGTGTTCTGGGAGCAGAGAAACTTTAATTGATACCAAGATCTAAGAAGCATTTTGAAATTCTCCCCCGTGACCACTTCTTAAAGCAGCCATTTTAATATATTTTTTATTTTGAACTGTTTTAGCATATTTTCTAAAGGCATTAAACGCCTCATTCGTATGAACTAAGAATAGAATCCAAGTGTATCTTGAATAATCGTCGACTATAACAATAGCATAGTAGATACCACCATAACTTTTGGCCCTTGAGGGGCCAAATAGGTCCATATGTTGTAACTAAAATGGTCTATCGGAAGAAACCATATGCTTAGGTTTGAAAGACGTTTTTGTTTGTTTACCCTTTTGACATGCACTACATAGTTTGTCTTTAACAAACTTCATTTTGGGCAAACGAACAAGTAGATCTTTTTTAATTAGCTTATTTAGATGATCCATATGTATATGCACAATTCTCCTATGCTAAAGCAATGCATCATTATTATTCTTAACAACTAAACATTTTATTGGTAAAGAAGAATCATCTAGATCAATCATATATATATTGTTTATTCTCTTACCAACTAGTTTAGAGTTATTAGAATCCTTACTTTCAATGATGCACTTATCTGGGTAGAATGCCACGTGGAATCCTTTGTCGCATAGTTGACTTATGCACAATAAGTTGAAATTGAGTCCCTCGACCTAAAGTACTCCTTCTATGGTTGCTGATGGTGGCTTGCCGATTCTACCAACTCCATGTATTCTTCCTTTGTTGTTGTCAACATATGTGACGTATCCTTTATCCCTTGGAGTGAGGACAAAGAATTTTTCTTTATTTCCCGTCATGTGTTTTGAGCAGCCATTGTCCAAGTACCATAAGTTGAAGGTGGCTCTCAAGTTTTCCTACAAATCAGGTTAAGTAATATTAGTTACCCAATTTCCTTTGGGTCCTACATGGTTAGCACCTTTCTCTACCCATTTAAAATGACCTAATGGTACACCATACCTTTTAATCTTGCAAACATTTGGTGTATGTCCATGATTCTTACAATAAGTACACATGGGAAGATGCTTATGTGTTCTAGATTTATTATTAATACAGTTTGGTGCATGAACATTTGGTTTTGAAAGATTATTTTTGAGACATTTTGCTTCTTAGAAGCTTGGCTATTGGAATAGCCTAGACCTCTCCAGTCTTTAACATGTCTCTGATCTTTGATTATCTTATCTACATGTTTGCTACTCTTGTTTGATTCATTAAGTTCAAAACTTATTGATGAAATTTTCTTTTCAAGAGTGATGCAATTTTGACATGAAGAGGAAGATGATTTATTTCTAATTAAGTTTTGTGTTTTAGAAATAATTTTGTGAGTTTAACATATTCATCATGCAATTTATTAAATGGCATTTGTAATTCAGAAGAAGAAAAATATTTAGTTTCACTTATCTCTTCATCATCAGAATGATGAGATGCCATTAGTGATAGATAAGCTTGTTCTTCATTTTTTGGTTCAGATGTAGAACAAGTATCGTCGAGCATTGACCTTTTATCTTCCTCTATTCCTTCATGCATAATCTCTAGAGTTTCCCACATCCCTTTGGATGATTTTCAATTTGATACTCTGAATAATTAATCATTCCCACGTGTTGAAGTGAGGATGGTTTTCGCTTTGAGATTATATTGCACTTTCTTATTGTCTTCATCATTCCATTAAGATTTTGGATTTACTTCCCTCACACCATTGATAACCGTAAACGGTTCATAGGGTCCCTCTTCAATCGCATTCCAAATATCCATATCTTGAGATTCTATGAAGATTCACATTCTGATTTTCCAGAAGTCATAAAATTCTCCAACAAAGCTTGGAGGACGATTGATGTTGGAACCTTCTCCAAGAAATGATCTTGCTGCCTCTTCGAAACATGATCAGTTTTGAGAATAAATTACTCAAAAAAAGCTCTGGTTCAAATTGAAAGAGGGGGTGAATTAGTTTGACTTAAGACCATGATCGATTTTTCTGCGATTTGAGAGTTAGTATCAGCGGAAAATGTAATGTAGACAAATATCAAACAAAAGTTAAGGAGATAAGGGAAGAAGAGTACACAAGGATTTTCATAAATTACAAATGTTCACCCCAAGACTTTATTGTACCTTACTCACTCTCCAATACCTATGTCACTCTCCTGGAAATAACCTTTCCAAGTGACTCTAACCCTTTTCTAATCACACCCTTGTGATAGAAAATATTTTACATAGTTGAAGATAATAGTTAGCAACGGCAAGGATTGCTTTATACAAGATAAGATAAGAAACTCTCTTGCAATCCAACAACTCTTTGTATACTTGGTATATAATGCTCATACGGTTTGAAAGACTTTAATTTTTTCACTTCACAACTTCAGAAAGTTTACTTTGAAAGTGAAAAGCAAGTTGTAGTAAAAATGCAGAAAAAGTGTTCCAAAAATTCAGATTTGCATAAGTGAGTTGTGATTTGTATGTGTGAAAGTTCTATCAAAATGTTGTGTTGAATCTGAGTTCCAATGTCTTTATATTGACTTTCCAATTAGCCATAACACCTTTAGGAAAGAGTAGGATTCGTTTGGAATGGAACCATTTCGTTTGGGATGAAAGTTGTTCAGATTGAATCTGAAAATCTGGTGCAACAACTCTCAGTAATCGATTACAATATGTGGGTAATCAATTACCCAAGTGTTCTGTTCAACTTAGAAACCAATTTTCATGTTCTATTCAAGAATGAGTGATTACCCTTCTCCGACTCTTCCTGTCCAACCTCAGAGCGGGTAGCAAATATGTTCCGTATTTTTTAACAGGGTTCTATGGTCGGTCCACGACCCCCGGGATGCTGGAGGTCTCCTTGGGGTGGTCTCGTAGTTCCTATGGGGTGGAGACAACGGGGTCGGTCCATGAATTTTCTTTCCTTTTGCTGCATTTTGCTCAAAGGGTTGAAGTGAAATAGTGCATTAAGCTGTTCGTTAGGGCCAACTTGATCCTCTTCCCCAGGATCGCAGATGAGGAAACCCTAGGAGAGCCACCGACTCCAACTACCGTCGATGTACGATCCATACTAGATCTGCCCAACTACCCATCCTACCTCCTCTATGTTTTTGACAGCCAATCTTTGTATCAGTAGAGTCTTTTAGTGGCATGTTCCGGTCCTCTTTCCCATTACTTAGAAAAAGTGAGCCACCGATTTTCAGGTACAAGATACTATCATTACTGCCTGGACAATTAGACATCCAACCCGTAATCGCAACGACCTAATTGTGGGAGCGGAGCTATACCAACTAAGTTATACCCCGTCGTGCCAAGCTAAGTGGAACATGCATGAAGGAGTCAGTCTTCTACTCGTTTCCTTGGCACAATTGGACCATCCTGGACATGAACCAGAGACCTGGCTCGTGAAGTAAATCATCACACCTATGGTCCAACCAATTGGAAGAGAATCAATAGATACCTTTTCTGGAGCGATTCATCCTTCCTGAACACAGCATACAACTATATGTTGTACTGCGCTCTCCAAGTGTGCATGTTCCCCTTCTTCTTTACCATGGCAAATCTTTGTGAAATAACTCTGCTGAGAAGAAAAAGAAGGCGTTAAGAGACCCTCCTGGCCCAACCCTAGACACTCTAAGATCCTTTTTCAAACCAACTCCCATTTCGAGTCAAGAGATAGATAAGTAGACACATCCCAATGCACTTATCGGGGGCGATCGTAGTGACTAAGGGGTCAAAGACCAAGAAGTGAGTTATTTATCAGCCAAGCATTCTATTCTTCTTATTGCTAGATCCAATCTCCCGATCCCTATGGAAAGGAAAAATAATTTCACGTTCTTCCTTCGAGAAGGAAAGATTACAAAAATCCTATTGATTGCAATTTTCTCCAGACCCCTAGGAAAAGCATGAAAAAAAGGCTCGAACGGTATGATCCCTCTGTCACCCCAATTCGAACAGGAGATGTACGCCATTCTAATTTGCCTTGGATGATCCACATATCAGGATCAGGAGCCGATGAGCACATTAAACTATCCATGTGGCTGAGAGCCCTCACAGTCTAGGTACAACGACATAATTATCAGGAGTGCGCTCTACCACTAAGCTAATAGCCTGTCGTGTGGGCCTCCCGCCGGAGCTCGCTATTGCAAAAGCGAGAGAAACCCCATCCCTCTCTTTCCTTTTTTTGTCGCCCCATTGTGGGGACATGGGGACGTAAAAAAGGAGCTCCTATCAACTTGTTACGACCTAGGATACTAAGCTCATGAGCTTAGTCTTACTTCTCTGTTGAGAAATGAAAGAAGACTTCCATCTCCAAATTTGACTATGATGCACAACTCGCTTCTTCTTTTTCGTATGTGAAGTAGTGTCAAACCAAACTACTCAATAAGCATTAGCTCTCCATGAAAAGGAGGTCATCCAGTCGCACCTTCCTGTACGGCTACCTTGTTAAGACTTCACTCCAGTCACTAGCACTGCCTTCGACTTCCCCCTCCTTGTGGTTTAGGTAATGAGTTCGGGCATGGCTAGGTCCCATAGTGTGACGGGCAGTGTGTACAAGGCCCAGGAACGAATTCACCGATGTATGGATGACATGCGATTACTAGCGATTTCGGCTTCATGCAGGCGAGTTGCAGCCTACAATCCGAATTGAGGACGGGTTTTTGGATTTAGCTCACCCTCGAGGGATAGCGATCCTTTGTCCCGGACATTGTAGCACGTGTGTCACCTAGGGCATAAGGGGCATGATGACTTGACGTCATCCTCACCTTCCTCTGACTTATCACTAGCAGTATGCTCACGGTTCCAAACTCAACATTGGCAACTATACGTGAGGGTTTCGCTCATTGTGGGACTTAACCCAACACCTTACGGCACGAGCTGACGACGACCATGCACCACCTGTGTCCGCATTCCCGAAGGCACCCCCTTCTCTTTCAAGAGGATTCGCGACATGTCAAGCCCTGGTAAGGTTCTTCGCTCTGTATCGAATTAAACCACATGCTCCACCGCTTGTGCTGGCCCCCATCAATTCCTTTGAGATTCGTTCTAGTTAACGTACTCCCAGGTGGGATACTTAACGCATTAGCTACAACATTGCACGGGTCGATATGTACAACGCCTAGTATCTATCGCTTTCGGCTAGGCCTACTAGGGTATCTAATCTTATTAGCCCCCCTAGCCTTCATCTCTCAGTGTTAGTGTCGACCCAGCACAGTGCTTTCGCCGTTGGTGTTCTTTCCTATCTATACCCATTTCACGGTTCCACCAAAAATTACCTCTGCCCCTACAATACTCCAGCTTGGTAGTTTCCACCGCCTGTCCAGGGTTGAGCCCTGAGATTTGATGGTGAATCATTCTGGATAACACTTGCATCCTCTATCTTACAAGGACTGCTGGCATGGAGTTAGACGATGCTTATTCCTCAGTTACCGTCATTGCTTCTTCTCTAACAGTCTAGGTCGTATCTTAGTCCTAGTGTGGCTGAACATCCTCTCGAACCAGCTGCTAATCATCGCCTTGGTAAGTTATTTCCCCACCATCTAGCTAATCAGACGCGAGCCCCTCCTCGGGCAGATTCAACCTTTTGCTCATCAACCTATGGGGTATTAGAAGTTGTAAGGACCCGATTTTCATAACTCAAAAAATTATTTTTAAAACCTTGTTCATGAAAGTGAAGTGATTACATTTGAAAGACAATACTCGAATAGTTTGGAAACTTGAGTGATTACGTTTATAAATTTACAAGGCGGAAATATTCCGAACACCTTTCATTTCAAAAGCATGTCATTACACTTCCGTTCAAATACATCCTTTATACAATTACAATTTCTCAAAAGTACCTTGAATACAAACATTAGATCCACTTCATTATACACTTACATGAAAGTTGTTTATACATGAATTCACTTTAACATGTTCTTCATATTACAAATATTTATCATATAACATATCAATTACATATTATCCACTACTCTATCATGTATTCTTCTCCGCAAGTGTCCAATGCGCTACCTCCACAACCTAAACCCAAATATACAACACATACAAGGAAAGACAGAGGGAGTAAGAACCAACTACGGCGACCGTAGCGTGGATTTACATGGTGTAATGACATTAAAGTATTAAAACCACACACATCTAACATCAATCATGATAAAGATATATCAATCAACACATATTATCCATATTCACCCTATAGTACACATATATCCCATACTATATGTGTTCTATAGTGCGCATACTTATTCATCACATATTATTCATATTCACCCTATAGTACACATACATCCCATACTATATATGTGTATAGTGTTCATATTTTATTCGTCCAAATATACTCATTTCTCATCATTCATACTCACCCTATAGTATATATATCCCATAATATATATTCTATAGCATGAATATTAATTTTATCATTCACATCCTCATTTTCATCCTTCATATTTCCCTTAATCATATTCATCGATTTCATTTCCCATCCCACATCGGGTAGGTCGAGTTATTATCCATACCACATCGGGCAGGTCGAGTTATTATCCATACCACATCGGGCATGTCGAGTTATTATCCATACCACATCGGGCAGGTCGAATTATTATCCATGCCACATCGGGCAGGTCGAATTATTATCCATGCCACACCGGAAGGTCAAGTTATTATCCATGCCACATCGGGCAGGTCGAGTTATTATCCATGCCACATCGGGCAGGTCAAGTTATTATCCATACCACATCGGGCATGTCGAGTTATTATCCATACCACATCGGGCAGGTCGAGTTATTATCCATACCACATCGGGCAGGTCGAGTTGTTATCCATGCCACATTGGGCAGGTCGAGTTATTATCCCTGCCACATAAGGCAGGTCAAGTTATTATCCATGCCACATCGGGCAGGTCGAGTTAATATCCATACCACATCAGGCAGGTCGAATTATTATCCATGCCAAACCGGAAGGTCAAGTTATTATCCATACCACATCGGGCAGGTCGAGTTATTATCCATACCATATCGGGCATGTCGAGTTATTATCCATACCACATCGGGCAGGTCAAGTTATTATCCATGCCACATCGGGCAGGTCGAGTTATTATCCATGCCACATCGGGCAGGTCGAGTTATTATCCATACCACATATTGCAGGTCGAGTTATTATCCATGCCACATCGGGCAGGTCGAGTTATTTTCCATGCCACATATGGCAGGTCGAGTTATTTTCCATGCCACATATGGCAGGTCGAGTTATTATCCACGCCACATCAGGCAGGTCGAGTTATTATCCATGCCACATCGGGCAGGTCGAGTTATTATCCATACCACATCGGGCAGGTCGAGTTATTATCCATGCCACATATGGCAGGTCGAGTTATTATCCATGCCACATCGGGCAGGTCGAGTTAATATCCATACCACATCAGGCAGGTCGAGTTATTATCCATGCCACATCGGGCAGGTCGAGTTATTATCCATGCCACATCGGGAAGGTTGAGTTATTATCCATGCCACATCGGGTAGGTCGAGTTATTATCCATCCCACATCGGGCAGATCGAGTTATTATCCATACCACATCGGGCAGGTCGAGTTATTTTCCATGCCACATCGGGCAGGTCGAGTTATTATTCATTCCACATCGGGCAGGTCGAGTTATTATCAATACCACATCGGGCAGGTCGAGTTATTATCCATGCCACATCAGGCAGGTCGAATTATTATCCATGCCACACCGGAAGGTCAAGTTATTATCCATGCCACATCGGGCAGGTCGAGTTATTATCCATGCCACATCGGGCAGGTCGAGTTATCCCCATACCACATCGGGCAGGTCGAGTTACTTATCCATCACATGTTCGTCATAGCACAAAATATCAACTCAATGTCGTACACCAATAAACACAAGGCATCACATCGTTCCAACATCATGGAATAACACACAACACCTTCATTATCACAACATATCCATGCATATTTATAACAATGAAGCGATTCACAACCTATTCACTTCGATAAACATACTCATTTCCACCTTTACAAATCAACAACTCATTCAAACAATTCTCATTACCAGCATACCCATTTAATTTTAACACCTTAATAACTCATCACACATTCAGTGTTACAAACACACCCATGTATGTTCATAACAATCAACAACCCACAACATACTCATTTATGCTTATGACCATAAATATCTCACACAACATAACCATTATCATAAACAAACCACGCGTAACATATTCTTCATCATATACACATTAACGTTAGAACCATCTTTAATGACGGTGTATTACCATAAATGATGATATAGCGATTTACTTAAATAGACGGTTTTCCCCACACATATATCTCCACTTTTATGGCTAATACATCCTCATGTAAGATAAAGACTCTCACATGGATCACAAACTCCCAAGAGAGTTTCTATCCGTTAATGTGCTCCGATTCTTGAGGGAAATCGGAGATGACGACTCTAATGAAATACTCTAAGACCACAATGGTCTTCTCCCTCACCTTAGGTTGTAAGCTCCATGGATCTACAAAGAGCTCCATCTCGCTCCATCTCCTTCAACCTCCATTGTTGCTTTTTCCTCTCCAAAGCTCTCCAATGTTCCATTAAGAAGCAAGAGGAAGAGGTTTTGATGTGTTTTTGAGGTTTAGAGAAGGAATGAATCGGAATCTATGGGGAGCCGCCGTTGGGAGTGAAAGGGGAGAAAATAAAGTGAAGATTAGGGTTTGTGAAACCCTTTCTTTTCTTTTATAGCTGGGCACTCTCGCTCGGGCGAGAAACCCACGATATTTTAATGTTCCAAACACGGGCTCTCTCGCCAGGGCGAGATTCTCTCGCTCAAGCGAGAATCTCACAGCCTTTCTAGGCTTCCTCTCGCTCAAGCGACCCATTCTTCGCTTGGGCGAGACTCCCAGAATTTCCAAATTCAAAACACTGATCCTCTCGCTTGGGCGAAATCCTTTCGCTCAAGCAAGAATCTGGTAGTATGCCCCATTCTTCAGGACTATTACCTAATTTCAAGGAGGATAAATTTGGGGTGTTACAAAAGTCATTTCCAGCTATTGTTCCCCTCCCAAGGGCAGGTTCTTATGCATTACTCACTCGTCCGCCATTGGAAACACCACTTCTCGTCCGACTTGCATGTGTAAGGCATGCCGCCAGCGTTCATCCTGAGTTAGGATCGAACTCTCCATGAGATTCCAAGTTACATTACTTATACCTTCCTTGTTCGTAGACAGAGCTGATTCAGAATTCTCTTTCATTCTAAGGCAGAACTTGTATCCATGCACTTCATATTTTCCTAGAGTTAGCTCTCAGAAATATACCCCCACCCCCCACCCCCGCTCCTGCCAATCCCACTAGCCTCTTATCACTCTCCATTCTAATACGATCATGACATCAAACAAAATAGAAAAACTCACATTGGATTTAGGGGTAATCAGGCTCGAACTATGACTTACACTGTGTCAAGGTGACACTCTACCGATGAGTTATAACCCTTCCTTCTCTTGCCCCCATTGTAACACCCCAAATTTTAATCTTTAAAAATATAGTATCAGTCTTGGAAGCCTCGCTTGATCGAGAGATTCTCGCCTGAGCGAAAAAGGATCAGCTGGGAGGGTGAAATCCTGGACTACTGGAGGATTCTCGCCTGGGCGAGAAATGGCAATTTTGGGCTGTTGACACAATGTAATCGATTACATTCTTCTGGTAATCGATTACACACTGCTGGTAATCGATTACACTCTGCTGGTAATCGATTACATCGTATTAAAAGCATCAGATATGTGCATCTGACACGGTGTAATCGATTACACATTTCTGGTAATCGATTGCACATTGCTGGTAATCGATTACACATTGCTGGTAATCGATTACACATTGCTGGTATGGAGAATAAACTAGACCTACCCGATGTGGTATGGATAATTAACTATACATGCCTGATCTGTTATGGAGAATAAGCTCGACCTACCCGATGTGGTATGGAGAATAAACTAGACCTAACCGATGTGATATGGAGACTTATCTAGACCAGCCCGATGTGGTGTGGAGAATTAACTAGACATGCCCGTAGTGGTATGGAGAATAAACTTGACTTGCCAGATATGGTGTGGAGAATTGACTAGACGTTCCCGATGTGGTATGGAGAATAAACTCGACCTACCCGATGTGGTATGGAGAATAAACTAAACCTCCCTGATGTGGTATAAAGAATTAACTAGACCTGCCCGTTGTGGTATGGAGAATTAACAAGACATGTCCGATATGGTATGGAGAATAAAATTGACCTACCTGATGTGGTATGGAAAATAAACTAGACTTACCTGATGTGGTATTGATAATTAACTAAACCTGCCCGATGTGGTATGGAGAATTAACTAGACCTGCCTGATGTGGTATAGAGAATAAACTAGACCTGCTCGATGTGGTATGGAGAATAAACTATACCTGCCCGATGTGATATGGAGACTTAACTAGACCTGTCCGATGAGGTATGGAGAATAAACTAGACCCGCCCGATGTGGTAGAGAGACTTAACTAGACCTGCGCGATGTGGTATGGAGAATAAACTAGACCTACCCGATGTGGTATGGAGTATTTACTAGACCTGCCCGATGTGGTATGGAGAATTAACTAGACCTGCCCCGATATGGTATGGAGAATAAACTAGACCTGCTCGATGTGGTATGGAGAATTAACTAGACATGCCCGATGTGGTATTGAGAATAAACTCAACCAACCCGATGTGGTATGGAGAATAAACTAGACCTACCCGATGTGGTATGGGGAATTAACTAGACCTGCCCGATGTGGTATGAAGAATTAACTAGACCTGCCCGATGTGGTATGGAGAATAAACTAGACCTGCTTGATGTGGTATGGAGAATACACTATACCTGCCCGATGTGGTATGGAGACTTAACTAGAAATGTCCAATGTGGCATGGAGAATAAACTTGACCTACCCGATGTGGTAGAGAGACTTAACTAGACCTGCCCGATATGGTATGGAGAATAACTTCGACCTACCCGATGTGGTATGGAGAATTAACTAGACCTGCCCGATGTGGTATGGAGAATAAACTAGACCTGCTCGATGTGGTATGGAGAATAAACTGGACCTACCCGATGTGGTATGGAGAATTAACTAGACTTGCCCGATGTGGTGTGGAGAATTAACTAGACCTGCCTGATGTGGTATGGAGAATAAATTAGACCTCCCGATGTGGTATGGAGAATAACTTCGACCTACCCGATGTGGTATGGAGAATTAACTAGACCTGCCCGATGTGGTATGGAGAATAAACTAGACCTGCTCGATGTGGTATGGAGAATAAACTGGACCTACCCGATGTGGTAGAGAGACTTAACTAGACCTGCCCGATATGGTATGGAGAATAACTTCGACCTACCCGATGTGGTATGGAGAATAAACTAGACCTGCTTGATGTGGGATGGAGAATACACTATACCTGCCCGATGTGGTATGGAGTATTTACTAGACCTGCCCGATGTGGTATGGAGAATTAACTAGACCTGCCCCGATATGGTATGGAGAATAAACTAGACCTGCTCGATGTGGTATGGAGAATTAACTAGACATGCCCGATGTGGTATTGAGAATAAACTCAACCTACCCGATGTGGTATGGAGAATAAACTAGACCTACCCGATGTGGTATGGGGAATTAACTAGACCTGCCCGATGTGGTATGGAGAATAAACTAGACCTGCTTGATGTGGGATGGAGAATACACTATACCTGCCCGATGTGGTATGGAGACTTAACTAGAAATGTCCAATGTGGCATGGAGAATAAACTTGACCTACCCGATGTGGTAGAGAGACTTAACTAGACCTGCCCGATATGGTATGGAGAATAACTTCGACCTACCCGATGTGGTCTGGAGAATTAACTAGACCTGCCCGATGTGGTATGGAGAATAAACTAGACCTGCTCGATGTGGTATGGAGAATAAACTGGACCTACCCGATGTGGTATGGAGAATTAACTAGACTTGCCCGATGTGGTGTGGAGAATTAACTAGACCTGCCTGATGTGGTATGGAGAATAAATTAGACCTGCCCGATGTGGTATGGAGAATAACTTCGACCTACCCGATGTGGTATGGAGAATTAACTAGACCTGCCCGATGTGGTATGGAGAATAAACTAGACCTGCTCGATGTGGTATGGAGAATAAACTGGACCTACCCGATGTGGTAGAGAGACTTAACTAGACCTGCCCGATATGGTATGGAGAATAACTTCGACCTACCCGATGTGGTATGGAGAATAAACTAGACCTGCTTGATGTGGGATGGAGAATACACTATACCTGCCCGATGTGGTATGGAGACTTAACTAGAAATGTCCAATGTGGCATGGAGAATAAACTAGACCTGCTCGATGTGGTATGGAGAATAAACTAGACCTGCCCGATATGGTATGGAGAATAACTTCGACCTACCCGATGTGGTATGGAGAATTAACTAGACCTGCCCGATGTGGTATGGAGAATAAACTAGACCTGCTCGATGTGGTATGGAAAATAAACTATACCTGCCCGATGTGTTATGGAGAATAAACTAGACCTGCTCGATGTGGTATGGAAAATAAACTATACCTGCCCGATGTGTTAAGGAGACTTAACTAGACCTGCCCGATGTGGTATGGAGAATAAACTAGACCTTCCCGATGTGGTATGGAGACTTAACTAGACCTGCCCGATATGGTATGGGGAATTAACTAGACCTACCCGATAGGGTATGAAGAATAAACAAGACCTGCCCGATGTGGTATGGAGACTTAACTAGACCAGCCCGATATGGTATGGAGAATAAACTAGACTTGTCCGATGTGGTATGGAGACAACTACACCTGCCCGATGTGGTATGGAGAATAAACTAGACCTGCCCGATGTGGTATGGAGACTGAACTAGACCTGCCCGATGTGGTATGTGGAATAAACTAGACCTCCCCGATGTGGTATGGCGAATTACCAAGACATGCCCGATGTGGTATGGAGAATAAACTCGACTACCCGATGTGGTATGGAGAATTAACTAGACCTACCCGATGTGGGATGGAGAATTAACTAGACCTACCCAATGTGGTATGGAGAATTAAATAGACCTGCCCGATGTGGTATGGAGAATAAACTAGACCTGCCCGTTGTGGTATGGAGACTTAACTAAATCTGCCCGATGAGGTATGGAGAACAAACTATACCGTCCCAATGTGGTATGGAGACTTAACTAGACTTGCCCGATATGGTATGGGGAATAAACTAGACCTACCCGATGTGGTATGAAGAATAAACTAGACCTGCCCGATGTGGTATGGAGACTTAACTAGACCTGCCCGATATGGTATGGGGAATAAACTAGACCTACCCGATGTGGTATGGAGAATTAACTAGACATGTCGATGTGGTATGGAGAATAAGCTCGACCTACCCGATGTGGTATGGAGAATAAACTAGACCTAACCGATGTGGTATGGAGACTTATCTAGACCAGCCCGATGTGGTTTGGAGAATTAACTAGACCTGCCCGATGTGGTTTGGAGAATAAACTTGACTTGCCCGATGTGGTGTGGAGAATTTTCAAGATGTGCCCGATGTGGTATGGAGAATACACTAGACCTGCTTGATGTGGGATGGAGAATACACTATACCTGCCCGATGTGGTATGGAGACTTAACTAGAAATGTCCAATTTGACATGGAGAATAAACTAGACCTACCCGATGTGGTAGAGAGACTTAACTAGACCTGCCCGATATGGTATGGAGAATAACTTCGACCTACCCGATGTGATATGGAGAATTAACTAGACCTGCCCGATGTGGTATGGAGAATAAACTAGACCTGCTCGATGTGGTATGGAAAATAAACTATATCTGCCCGATGTGTTATGGAGAATAAACTAGACCTGCTCGATGTGGTATGGAAAATAAACTATACCTGCCCGATGTGTTATGGAGACTTAACTAGACCTGCCCGATGTGGTATGGAGAATAAACTAGACCTTCCCGATGTGGTATGGAGACTTAACTAGACCTGCCCGATATGGTATGGGGAATTAACTAGACCTACCCGATAGGGTATGAAGAATAAACAAGACCTGCCCGATGTGGTATGGAGACTTAACTAGACCAGCCCGATGTGGTATGGAGAATAAACTAGACCTGTCCGATGTGGTATGGAGACAACTACACCTGCCCGATGTGGTATGGAGAATAAACTAGACCTGCCCGATGTGGTATGGAGACTGAACTAGACCTGCCCGATGTGGTATGTGGAATAAACTAGACCTCCCCGATGTGGTATGGCGAATTAACAAGACATGCCCGATGTGGTATGGAGAATAAACTCGACTACCCGATGTGGTATGGAGAATTAACTAGACCTACCCGATGTGGTATGGAGAATTAACTAGACCTGCCCAATGTGGTATGGAGAATTAAATAGACCTGCCCGATGTGGTATGGAGAATA